TAAGCTCTTGCTCCAAAGAATCACTCCTCGCCCTTATCAGACCTGGTCACCACAACCAATGAGGGTCCACAGCCCTCGATTGGAGTTGGTGAGGGGGGCGGGCGAGGGCCCTTGCTAAGTGGCGGCAGCGGCGATGTAGCTCGCTGCCACCATTGAGGGTCAGCTAGCCCTCCCTGAGTAGTGGTGGCGATGCAGATCACCACCGTTAAGCGAGGGCACAAGTGCCTTGCCTGCTCCAGGCGAGGGCAACGGGCTCTCGGCAGTGGTTCGGAAGGGGTCGCTGCCCTTACAACGACCACAACAAGGGTCCCAACCCTACTTTTCCATCTTTTGAATGCCAATCACGCAAAGCATGTGCACGTTTGCTGGTCACTAAGAGCTTAAAAGGTTGACCAGCTAAAGAGAAAACTAAAACAGAATTAAATGATCAGAGCAAAACTATAGTGAAATCTGGTCACTCTCCGCTTTATTCGATCCTCTGTTATTGGAGACTTTCAGTCTACATATAGAGGTCATTGCAATTCTCACGCAAGGTAATTTGTGATCAAGCAAAGAACATAGTCACGCACTTTCTTTGCCAAAAAAATTCAAAGAAGAGCAGAAAAAAGGCAGAAATGAAGTCCCATCCTCACATGCTTGCAGATTACTAGGAACGCGATACTCCTCGAGTCGTCAAAACTGTGCACAGTGGCAGCTGCCGACCCCGTCTAACTGAGACGAACTTACTGAGGAAGCACGCATTACTTGAGACAGAGTTCTACGAAAATTTTCTTCAGCTCCAGCACGAGCTTTGGTCCTTCTGGTGGCATCTTGGAAATTCATCCTGTGATAGACGTGGAGAGCCCACCTTCAAGACCTTCAAGTTGCCAACGTCCACAATCTCCTTATTAACAACGCTGGGATCCGGATGCCAGTGTTTCAGCTTGCTGTCCAAGTACCTGAAGGCTTAATCAATCAGTACTTGCACCTTGTAAAATACTAGGGCAGTTCTCAAATGAAAGCACGCGCACATAGACCGGAATTTCCAAAACTCCAAGCAGCAGCTTCAAAAGCCAAAAGCAGAGGATGCTTATGATGGGTTTGAGTTCATCTGATGCATAAGCCAATAAGCTCATCATTATAACCACGAATGGAAAACTTAACTATACACAGTTTTGTATTTACACTTACAAATTGTGAGGCGAGACATTTAATGCCCGAAAAGGGAGATTCAGGAGTAGCATATGGCATACTGTTTTACTTTATCTTGCAAATCTTCAAGGCTCTTCTTTTAAGTGGAGAGAAATCGACCGTGAACTCCACGGAGTCGCTTCTGTCCAGGCTCCAGTTGAAATTGCCGATGGGTTTACAGATCACAACGGCATTCGAGTAAGATATCTTTTCACCGATGTTTCCCAAGAAGATAGTTGTTAGGATATTCATCTTTTCAACCTCCATCTATGATGAATCAATAAGTCAAGACCAATGTGAAATCTGTACAAACCAGTCCTGCAGAGTCATATAGGCTTGTTCATTCACCTCTACCCCATCGACCACACAGCGGTCTTTCACATCAAACGGATGCATCGCAAATACAAACACGACGGCTCCGAACAAGTCTTCGGCAGCGTCCCCATTAATGAATGTGTAAACCAAAAGCTGAGACGAAATGAAAATGAGGAAAACGAGAGTCAAGAATTTTGTCAGAAGCAACCACAGAATGATGACCGCAAAACTGCTGAAGCTAGGTTGTTCAGGTCCTCGATGGCTGCATTCGCATCCTTTAAGGCGCGAGTGAGTGATTTCCAGTCAAGACTGACATTCACCTACAGACGTGAACTCTATAATTCAGATCATGTCCTTAATGATTTCCAGTTCTTTCAGCACAAAAAGTCTCCTCAATTTCAGTTTGGTACAAGCTGCATAGAATATTTGTTTTGGAAGCGAAGCTCTACATTAGTCAAAACCTAAGTGATACAATAGGCACTTACTAGCCATCTCTTTTTTTTTTTTTTATCAAAAGAAAATTTTATTCATTTGTTATAATCAAACATCATATAGACATAGAAAACTTCTAAGCAAAGAAAATCCCAAAAGAGCTATAATATAATAATAATAAAAAAACAGAAAACAAAAGAGTGTAGCTTGAAACTCTCATCCCAAAAGATCACATCTATCACAACATCGGCTTGATGGCCGATTACCGAAACCGTCACTAATAGGCACACGCTTAGATCTTCCCCTCCAAAAACTATGGCTTGCAGTGCACCTAGGTTCGGCGTCCTCGGCACCATGGCCATATGGAGACAACGACAACAACAGCATGTTGAACCACCACATATCAAACGCATTTAAGAAACTCCAAGACCTAAATTTAGATCGAGAAAGAAAAGCTCTCAAATTTAGATCATCTTAGAGAAGTCATAGACTCGCGTCGCAGACATCCTGCTGGTTGGGCTGTGTGACGACATTCTCACAAAATTATCAGCTACAAGTAGATTTATTCACCACGACGAGTAAAGAAAAGCAACTATAACGAGCAAAAGAAAACGCCAAACAAGGTGAAGAAAGACACCCAAATTAGATCAAGAGAGAAAAAAATAGGAAATCAAGGCCTAAAAAAGAAAAGCATAGCAAAACAAGCTCTCAGCTTCAGAAATTGAGGCTGAGAGCCTTTAAAGTAGGGGTGAGCGGTTCCCGGTCCGGTTCGGTCCAACCCAAGAACTGGGAATCGGATTGGGAGGACCGGTTCCCCATTTCTAGGACCGAGGACCGGACCGACTAGTCTTGGGACTGTGGACCGAATCGGACCGGTCTGGTCTAGTTTGGTTCCAATGAGACTAATCACTTATAGATAAAAGCAAGAGGAAATTGGGGAAATTAAATTACGTTTTCTATTTTTTTCAAAAATTTTAAAAAGTAAATAAATATATATGAAAAAAATAGAAAAATATATATTTATCGGTTCTGTCTGGTCGGTCCGGTCCGGTCCGGTTCCCACCCTAGAACTGGGAATCGGACCACCCGGAAACCAGTTTCACTTTTAGGAATTGGAAACCGGACATATATTCCCAAGAACCGGACCAAATCGATCGGTCTAGTCCGGTCCGGTCTGGTCCGGTCCCGATTTGGACGGTCCATTTTGCTAACCCCTACTCTGAAGTTGAAAGCCTGTAGGTGCGGTTGCTTTAAATGAGAGCGTTTTTGGGAGAGAAAGGGTTGCCGACAGAGAAATTAGGGTTTTAGAAGAGTGTGGCCGAATTTGGAGAGAGAGAGAGAGATAGAACTAGCCATTTCTTGTAAAACGTCCTCTTGATCTTCCGAGCTTTTGCCACTTTGGGGAACAAAGAGATGAATTTCTCGACGCGTTCCTTCTTCATGAAGCCCAAGAGGTCCTTGTCGATAAACCTAGTAAAAGCAGAAAACAGGATTCAGTGACAAACTTATAAACTTTCATTTGAATTACTTCTCGACATGTATTTGATTGTTTTTTAATTTGACAACTTTTCTTAGTGTTTACAAACTTTTATTTGTATTTCTTAGGAACACCTTATACTTACCAACTTTTTTTAAGAAATTACCGGTTTTAATTAAAGTGACTTGATAACTTTTTTTTTTATTAAATTACTCATTACTTTTAACTTGCCAACTCTTATTTAAATTACTTACCAAGTTTATTTTTCGTTCAATTACCAACTGTTCCTATCTTTACCGATTTTTATGTACCTCACATGTAACAACTGCGAGTGTCGTCGGCTCGAATTTTCGTCCTTACTTTTCGGAGAACCTATCGGTGCTCCTTTGCCTCACATGCTTGAAGGAGAGAATATTCGCCTGTAACATCGAATGATTCACCCCCCCCTCTCTCTCTCTCTCTCTCGCCTTATCATACATGGTCAACCTATTTCCAGCATTGTATAAAGCTTGACTAGTCATTAGCTCATCCATTAATACGCTAATAAGGACGTTCTTTTCTGGGGAAAACTAATACAAAAGACTGACCTTATGTCGCATCTATAGAGACGTTGCGTTAACGTCGACTCGTGTATAATATGCTTTGTTCTCTCTTGTAATTGCATGCATGAATGAAATTCGATGACGTCACTGCCGTAGGTTTATGTAGCATGTAAATAATTATGGCCGACCGCTGTCCAGATTAGAGTACTGCGATGTACTTGATTAGCTCCACGGCCTCTCGCGATTTGAAATCTCTCACATTGTGCTTAATATAATTAACCTGTCATTAAGGCCTTAATGACATACTTAATTGACCTATGTGGCAACAGCCAACCTTCACCTTTGTGCTTTGATCAGATAAGCTCGATTTCAAGCATGTGCGCAAGTTGTTCCAAAATGACAAGAAAATAGTTGTATAGGACTAATGTTTAAGCTAAAATTCCAATGATCGACTAATTATTCAATTCCGAAAGACCAACCCCGTCATATTTTGTTAGCCGACTTAGTATATGACATTCGACCAACAAGAATCTTCGCTGTAACGTGCAAACTGATTTTATATCTTTAGAAATTCTTCAAGTGTAAGTGGTCCGGTTTTTGGCAATTCCAAGATACTTCGCATGATCTACTTCATCTTATTGACATGATAAATCAAGTCAATCATTATTTTCATAGATATTCATGTGTCATATAAGAACCAACAAATATATCTCTAAATTCTAATTATCTGAACTCTCGGGCCAAAAACTCTTATCGACATGACACGTGCCGTAACCGATAAGGAAGTATGCTATCTCAAAGCCATCTTTCACCGTCCCCTTAAGATAAATTCCATTTTTTACCGCATATGCAAAGGGTACAAGAAGAAGATTCTCGATTTGTTGATTATATATTGTGATTTGAAAACTAGATTGTCCTCACGCAATGACATTTATCCACAGCTTGCTGTACCAGATAGTATCAATATGGGTGAGCTTCCAGATCACTTGCTTGATTGGATCATTGGCAAAAGTCACATCAAATAATAAAACAAAAATTGAAGAGAGAGAGAGAGAGAGAGAGAGAGAGAGAGAGAGAGGCTCAATCATACTCAAAGTCACACATAGCATAGCATAGCAATGTTCATCACCGTCTAGTGATTGTACCCTTCTTTGTCCTCGCTCGTTCAGCCAATAGATTGTAATCTCCTCCTCCTCCTGCGATGCCACAACCACCACGGCTTTCAGATTAGCTACCAAAGTTCATTATAATCGTATAATAACACCAAAATCAGCTACGCGATAAACAAATGTAATCCCCCTCTATAGTTTAATCTACACCCCGCTTGGCACTCTTATAAGCTCTTCATACATCGTCGTCATAGCCGGAATCCCTTCCTACCCCCAACCACCATGCCGGATGTCCAACCTCCCTACACACTGCCGCTGCCTCCTCAACTGCTGGTGCTGCCGCCCCCGCCCCCACCGTTGAAGTCCAATTTGCCGATGCTGTACTATGGGCTAGTCGTGGTGGGGACGGCTGCCCTCGTGCTGGCCTTGTACAACCTCATCATCATCAAGTGGTGCACCAGCCGCTACCAGTCCGGCCGGAGGGCCGAGCGGTTCGTCCAGTTCGCGGCGGCGAGCCGGAGCTTCGAAAACCCTAACCGGAACCTGTTGTCGAGCTTCAAGTACAAGACGGATGCAGCGGCGGCGGCTCAGGAGCCCGGGAGCGAGTATGAGTGCGCGGTCTGCTTATCGGTCTTTGAGGAGGGCGAGGAAGTGAGGCAATTGCCGCGGTGTAAGCATTCGTTTCATGTGTCGTGCATTGATATGTGGTTGTACTCTCACTCTGATTGCCCGCTCTGCCGCTCGCCAGCGCACCCGCTGCAGCCCCGGTTGCAGCCGCTGCTGCCGCCGGAGAGTGCGCCGGAGAATTCCCGGGAGGGGCTGTTGGAGTCGGGCGTGTCAGTTTGAGGTCCTTGTATTTTTGTAGGTTTTGTTTTTTCTTTCCATTGTAGAAAATGAAATTTTTGTTCTTTTTCACTCGATGAATGATAAAACGTTGTTGATATTCGGCTGTGGGTCCTTTTCTTGCCGTCGATGGGAATCTGATGTGGGTTAAAACTTAGGACGATGATTACGAAGAAAATTGAAAGAACATTATTTGTTACAAGTTGGGTAAGTTTTTATATGTAATTAAAAGTAAATTTCAAATGATTTTTTGCAAATGGGTAAATTTGTTGCTGAGGAAATGAATAAGGAAATGATTGGGCCGTCGGCCTAAACATACAAAATTGGTAAAATTTCACTTTCAACTCCCTCCCAAGAAACAATGGAAATTGAAAAAAATAGGATTATGGTACTGGAAGTATAAGCATCTCTCCCTCAGTGAATCAATCATTTCAACTTTTGTTTGATTAGACGACTCTTTTGAAACCGATGAATTGAACTATGTACATTTCTTTCACCTTTGTCTCTCGGATCTACAAGTTAGTCGTGACAATTTTCTAACATTTTTATGTCTAATGAATGATCCACACGAATGTTAGGGATGGAAATGGCACGGGTGTAATCAGATACCCATTCCATCCAAACCCTAATGAAACGTAAACGTGTTTTGAATTTTGAGTAACGAGATGGGTTTGGGATCTATTGTCAAAATCCTTATAAGGTTTGAGATGGATTTGGGATTTTATAGGTAGGAAATCCGATATCCCAAACTCGATATGTTCTCATTAATTTATTTCTATATCGTCTTAAGGATATTTTATTTTATTTTATCTGTAATCGTCTTTAGGTTGGCTATATAGCAAATGTACATTACTATTCCAATTATAACAGAGTTTGGAACATTTTTTAGACTTACTTAACAGATAAACTAAAAACCTAAGCTCGATAAATCATTGACCAAGCTACTCTTACTCTATTACAATACTTAGGCTCCATTTGTTTCGAAAAAAATATTTTTTCTTATTTTTCGACGGTTAAATCGCTTAGGAAAATGAGTCAACAAAAAACTTATGCTTAAATTTAGAAAAATGATTTCCTCTTTATAAAATCGAAAATTATTTTCTAAAATATGACTATATATCAACGTTTGGACTAGAAACTTGCCGTTGGGCACGTAAATTCTAACGCTCGTTCCCGAGTACCCATCATGGGCGTGCAACCCCAGTGTACTTGCTTGGGTCCCCCATTGCTAGGCCTGAATCCACCAAGGTTGGATACGCGACCCCAGAGTACTTGCCCAAGTCCCCGACACTCGTGCCCAGATCCATCAAGGCCAGGCCCAAGACCCTAATGCCAGTGCCCGGACTTGGGTCTATCGAGGCTAGGCCCAAGGCCCCGGTGCCCATTCCCGTGCCTGATGCCCTAGTGCTAAGGCCCGGGTCTACAAAGGTTAAACGCAGGGCCCTAGTACTTCGATCGCTAAAGCTCAAGCACAGGTCCTAAGCACCCGAGCTTTGGTTCACAAAGGTCGTACCTAGGTCCCTGGCACTCGAGCTTGGGTCCCCAATGCCCATGCTCGAGCCTAGGACCTCGGTGCCTAGGTCCGGGCCCATATCCATTGATGTCAGGGTCGGGTCTCAGTGACCAGGCATGATTATCATAGTCTCGGACTCGGGCACAGGCATCGGGGATCGAGACATGAGCACTTGGATCTTGAGCTCGGCTTCTACGTACCCAAGCCTGGGCGCTAAGGACTTGAAAATGAGCACCGGGGTCCCAAGCCCAACCTCGATGAACTAGGGCCAGGCCTCTATGGACCATGGCACAGGCAGTAAGGTCCTTGACTTCGGTCTCAATAGACCTAACCCCAGGCACGAGAGATACGGGCACAGAGACTTAGGTGTTGAGCATGGGCGCCGAGGACCCTACATGGGCACCAAGGTCCTGAGCCAGGCCTTGATGGACTCGGGCTCGGCCTATGTGGTCCTAGGCTCGGGCACCGAGGATTTGGGCCTGGTCTTTGGGGACTTAGGCTAGGACACTAGCCTCTTGGGCCTAGCCTCAATAGACCAAGGCTCGAGTGTCGATGACTTGAGCCCGACCGCCAGGGACCCGGGTCACTAGGGTTCCCGACCCAATAGGTTCCTCGGCCCGGCCTCTGCGGACTCAGTCCTAGGCCCAAGCATCGGGGTTTTGCATTCAAACTTTGTGCACTACAGCCCAGGTACCCGGGATCCCGGCAATTCATTCCTAAAACTTTACAATTTGGGCAATTTAGTCCTAAACATTTTAATGATTTAGTAAATGTAATCTTTTCGACTAATTTTGATTGGAAATTGCTGATATGGATGTTGGCTATCATATGTAGCACGACTACACTGACATGGACAATTTTTACATATCTTTTAGATTTTATCAATTATTTATAAATATTTATTTTATTTTCTTTCTTTCTTTCTTTCTTTTGCTCATCGGACTCAGTAGGAAAAAATTGAATAGAAAGAAAGAAAATTACAAGAATAAAAAAATTATAAAAAAAAACCTTACCAAAAAAAATTTATAAAAAATTAATAAAATTCTAAAAAAATTGTAAAAATTGTCAACGTCAACACTGGCCACCCGGTCATGCCACATAGAATAGCCGGTGTCCACGTCAGCGATTTTCAGTCAGAATTGGCTAAAAGGATTACATTGACAAATCGTCAAAAGATTTAGGACTAAATTTGCCAAATTGAAAAATTTAAGACTCAATTGGTATCTCTATAATAAGTTTATGACTTTTTTGGTAATTATCCCTAAAGAAAAATGCAGAGTGCGATAATCTAATACTTTTAGAAATAAAAAAGGAGGGTTAATTGCAAAAGAAATCCTCAAAGGTCCATTGGAAGTGTCCCATTTCTTTTTAGGTGCCTTCTTTTTTTACTAAAAAAAAAGCAACTTTGTTTTATTTTCAAAATATTTGAAACCTTTATTGAAATTTCAAGAAACTTTAAAAGGATTATCCAACTTATAGGAGGGACTAGGCCTAACGGCCCTGCCCATACTTCATAGAACGTACATATCATTTAGGGGTGTATATGGTCCGGGTGGGCGATTCTTACCCTAGAACCGGGAACCACCCACTAAGGACCGGTTCTTAAAAATTAGAATCGAGAACCACCCGTTGGTTCCATTGATCCACCTGGGAACCGGACCATCAATCCGGTCTGGTTCCCGGGTGGGTCCATGGAACCAGCATACCAAGCTTCACATGTCGGCATTGTAATATGCAACAAAGAATTACGCAACGGGAAGAAATGATTTTGGAATAATTAAAATTATACATCATCAATATGTTCATACTACTATCATTTTTATTGATTTGGGGTAATTGATGTGGTGTAGCATCATTTCTGTGGTATTGAACATTGTCGCGACCTAAAAAAAAATCGGGTTTTCGATCTTAGGCTAATGGATTACTAGATCAATTAAATTAACTAATCTAGCTCGAGTTCTCCCAAACTCTACCAAATCGCAACTTCGGTCCAATTATGAGCATGCAAATATTTTCAATGGGAGTCGTCACTAATCATTTAAGGTAGGTTGATTAGAAACCTAAATAAAATAGCGGGAGTACTATTTTATTTCTGCGAACCAGAAATTATGGATTCGGGGACTTGGTTACGCTAGATTCCCTAACGCCCTTTCGGTACCAATTTCAAGAAAAATACTTAATTTGACAATTTTGATAAATCCTGACTTAGAGTTCAAAGGTGCAGAAATTTTCTTTTTTTTTTTTTTTATTTATTTAAATGAAAGCTAACCTATATGTAATGACGTGCAAAAATTGACATGTGATTAATGCAACCTAACATGCAAACTATATGTCATGCGATGACGTGATCTATTTCTAATGACGGGCATATTATTTTTTTTTTGTATTTTTTCTTAATGAAATTCGGAATTAAAAATGCCAATTACCTAAACATGCAATTTTAAACTAAAGAAATTAACCTATTCTAGAGTAATCTTTTTGGTATTTTTTTTTATCGAAATTCGAAATTAAAATCGAGTAAAAAAAAATATAACCGCTAAATTTTTCGAATTAAGTTTCAATTCGAAATTAAAATCGAGTAAAAAAAAATATAACCGCTAAATCTTTCGAATTAAGTTTCGATCTGAAGCCTGACAGATCGATCCTAAAATTCGAAATACCCGCTATGGAAATAACTCTATATAAAGCATGATAGATAGATTTATTTCCACGTGTGCGGTTGTGGATTAGGAAATTTTCCTAATCGATCACATCTTGAAAAAATTTAAATATCTCAAATATCTTGGATATATTCAAAGGATTTTGAAAATTCTAAATTCTATCCAAATTTGATAAGATCAGATATCCAAGATTTCAAAAAAAGAAATAAATCCTAATTGAAATATGCTTATTACTCGAATATGTAAAATTAGATATCAATAAGCACAAATTAGGCAACAAAATATTCGAATCAAATCGGGATAAGATAATTACCTGATTTGCAGATTTCTTTCCTAATTTGAATTTGCAGCAGATCGGGATTGCGGATCGGCGGTGACCGGCGAGCGGCGGCGCGATGTCGGGAGCGGCGGCGACTCGCGGCGGTGACACGGCGGGGACAGCGGCACGGCGGGCGTCTCCGGGCAGCGGTGCAGCGCTGCGGGGACAGCGGCGGTGCAACGAGCGGCGTCGGCGTCTCCGGGGCAACGGCGTGGCAGAGGCAGCGCCGCGGCGATGGTTGGCACGGTGGTGCGGGGGCGACTTGGCTAGGCTCCGAGTTCACGGACAAAGCGGCGACGGTGGGCTCATTCACTGTCGTGGTTGGCACGATGGAACGATGATTGATGGTTGACGCTCAATCGGAATAGCAGCGGTGCTTGATGGATGATCTACTCGCGGTTGTGCAATTCACCAAGTCGGAGGAACGCGGAGGAACACGGATGGCGGGGCCGCGAGACGCGTGGACAGCCGCAAGGAATTGTGGACTCTCTGTTTCGGAATGAGCAGAACGTCCACTTTGTCCTTCACCTCTCTTTCTCAGTAAATTTGTCGTCGTCTGTCTTGTCTCTTCAGTGTGTAGACTTTGACCGAGAGAGAAAGTTACTGGTGGAGGTCTTCTCCATGCCAAAATCTTGTGTGCCTTGCGTGACCAACAGGAAGGAAGAAGACCTTTTTTCTTTCTTGTCGTCGTCTTCTCTATGAAGCCCTCCAAGGAATCGTCTCTTTCTCTCTCTGTTGTGTTACCCAGCTCTCACGACTCTCTCCCTAAAAATCTGATTTGAAATTATCATAGCCCCCTTGATTATGATGCATAACGACATATTTATATCGCAACCCTAGGTTAATTAACCGGGCTTCCTAGTCCTAATGGGCTTAGACTTAGGCTTTAATTTAATTGTAAGTGGGCTGAATTAATTTGGGCTTTTCTTTAATTAAGCATAATGGACTAATTTAAGCTCAAATTAAGACAACCAAACCCTTTTTGCGTGTGATTTTCGGCCCATGCTTTCCGAGTGAGCCGAGTCTCGTTCGATGCCCGAGCTCGATTTACGTGATGAATTTTAAGCTCGCTTACCACCGCCCATCCGATGCGGAATGCAATTAATCTATATGAACCTAAACTATATGCTATGCAATTTTAATATTTTTGTTTAGGGGTTAAAATTTAATCCCTAATTTTCTATGCAATTAACCACTAAATGATGCGCCGAAATTTAGGTGTCAACAAACATTATTCACATATGGCCTTGTTTATGCGGATATTAAAGTGAACATGAAGATTTGAAAGACCTGTGGGTAAATAAAGTTAAACGAGAAAAGAGAGAGATGGACATATCCCTTACCATTTTGTCAAAGCTTTTCTATATGTTATTATCCCACCTTCGCCGATTACTATCAAGAAAGCATGGGCTTTTGCTTAGTCTGTGCATCGACTAATAAGAGTGAGAGAGTGAGAGTATTGAGTGAGTTTCACATTTAGGGATTTAGGATTTTTCTTTCTTTTTTTAAAAATTTAAAATAATATATAATATATAATATTATATTACTGGTCCGATTCGGGTGGGTGGGCGGGCGGTTCCACACCTGGAACTGAGAACCATACCAATACCCACCGGTTCCAATAATTTGAAATCGGGAACCGGACCGGTTTTTTAGGAACCACCAGTTCTGAGCCAGTCCGATCCAATTCTGGGCGGTTCCCGGTTCTTTTGCACACTCCTAATATCATTACCCAAAATTGGACTTAGTGAGTCAATAGCAGTAATCTTGTGATTGCATAAGCTGGGCAATAATGTAAACCTTGGTTTGGTTTCGATTGGGTCTAGACTGAAAATGAAAGATATTTATGAACTTGTGATTTGACATGAGAGATTAAACCCAAGGGGGACCCCAAATCCCCCATTAGGATACGTGAAATTTTGCCAGGTCATCACCTCGTGTGAATATGAAATGAGCCGGACAATTATAATTGTATCGTATAAATGCAAAGAGACATCGTCGCGACCTATTTTAATTAAGATCTACCTTGATGTCCTCCTTCCCCACCACCCGCTTATGGGATTAAACAAGTGCTTAATTTGTCCATGAATCACACAATTTATTGAAGGACGTGTTTTGCTCTCATACCATGTCTAATCACTGAATCCATTTCACATCGATCAAGCCTCTCAGTAAGGAGCGATCATGTGTCAACACAAGGTGACGACCCACTTAGCAGTAGATCTTATTTATAAACCACCAACATGGACTCTTTCTTCACATGTGAGACTCTTGCATATCACCAAAGTATAACTATCATGAATTTTTTTGACCTTGATCGATTTGATCATTGGAGTAACATATGTCGTCAATACATAGAAATCATCAATTAAACACATTACATATATACCATCATAGTCAGAAGAAGACTTGTTTCAATATATTCTACTATTGGTTGTGCATGCTTGCTTGAATATGTGCATAGGCGCTTAGGTCACGCATTCATCCTCTAGACCCGTTTGATTTCAATCTTGATTTTACTTATTTTTGGCCAGATTCATCCCATCTCGGTTAAAAGAACACAAAAAGCAAACCCATCAAAGTCCCACGCCACGTCAGCTGCTCCAAACCCAACCCCGACCCAAGTGCCACGTCATATAGAAAGCACCAGCTGAACACTTGCTGGACCGCCCCACACCCAAATCCTTCTCCCATGATATATTTTTTTAAATTGGGCAACAAAAACAAAAACAAAAACAAAAACAAAAAAATTTGCAATAAAGTTAAAATAATAATTATTATTTTCATTAATTAGGTTTTTTTTTGGATAAGTACATTCAAAATCCTAAAACTTGTCACAAAAGTATAATTGAGTTCTAAAACTTTCATAATATGTAATTGAGTCCTAAAACTTGTTAGGAAAGTGCAATTGAGTCCTAAAACTTTCAAAAAGTGTAAAGAAATCCTAAAACTTGTCACGAAGCAAACAAGTTTTAAAACTTATCAAATTAGTTCAATCAAGTCCTTCTATTGATTGCACTTTTTGAAAGTTTTAGGACTTGATTACACTTTCATAATAAATTTTAGGACTTGATTGCATCTCCGTGATAAGTTTTAGAATTTAATTGTACTTTAGTTACAAATTTTAGGACTTGATCGCATTTTTTGAAAATTTTAAGATTTAATTATATTTTCCTGACAAGTAATAAGACTTCTAAGGTACTTATCTCTTTATTTTTTTTTAGCGCAGCTCGACCTTTTACACTGAATCTAATCCGCCAGGTCAAGCAAGAAAATTTCACTCCCTCGCTTCCCTCCTCCTCTTCAAAACACACATCCCCCTCGCAATCTCTCTCGCTCTCTGAAATTCCTCTGTTCCTTCCGTCACAGCCCAAGAATGTCGGTCCCCAGTTCGCTCCGCCTCTGTTCCTCCGTTTTCGTCCTTTGACGCACGAATCTTGGGTTTTGGGTTTCGAAAAATCCGAATCGCTGTTTCGGGTCGCAGTCCGTTTCTTGAAAGAGAGAGCGCTCTCCCCGTTCGTGCTTCCGTAAGGAGAAAGAGCTTCTTGCGCGCGGCGTGGGAGATATGGAAGGAGGAGGGCAGTACAATCCTCGGACTGTGGAGGAGTTCTTCAGGGATTTCAAGGGTCATCGAGCCGGTATGATCAAAGCTCTAACCACTGGTCTCTCTCTCTCTCTCTCTCTCTCTCTCTCTCTCTCTCTCTGGTTGAGTATTTGTTGGTATATTCTCTTGTGATTTCACATTGGTCGAATTGAGAATTGGGTTCGGTCTGTCTGGTGGTTTTGCTTTCTGGGTATTCAAGATTTGCGGGTGCTGACTTTTTCTTGTTGTTGTTGTTGTTGGGTTTCTTGTTGCAGATGTCGAGGAATTCTATCAGCAGTGCGATCCGGGTTAGGGTTCTGATCCGCTTACTCTGTATTATAGTTAGAACTTTATCGGGGAAAAATAAATAAAGAATATGGTATTGCATTGCTTGATGTCAGACATTTTGCTGTGGCAGTAGATTTCACTGTCTCGCGAGTTCTTTGTAATGGAGATGTTTTTGCAAGTTTGGTTCTTGAGCTTAATGATGCAGTTTTTTTCTCCTTTTGGGACGGTTGCATTGTGGTTATGACAGTAAAGAAGTGTCGAGGGATCGGGCTTCTTTAAATTCTTTATTTCACCATTTCTTGGTCTTGAGAGTAGACATTTGGTATGGAATGTGCAAGTTGAGCTTCTAGTGCAAGCTGCAGGTTAGTCATTTTGTTCCGTAGGAGCTTAAATTCGCAGCCTAAGTGAATTAGCTCTTTTTACACAGTTGAATTCTCTCCCTCGCTTTGTTTTTCGGGTTTTCTCTTTGCTTGGCAGATGTGACTAGTAATTCTCTTAGATGGCAGAAAACCCGATTTGCTTAGAATAGTTTGTCTTTAAATCTACTAGACTACTCTAGAGCTTCCATCTTTCGTAACTGTTGCCACCTCCTTAGCTCTCCAAATAAGCCTCTTAGCCATATAACTTCTTTAACAGCCTCTGTAATAGCCATATACTCTGTCTCTGTAGTAGACAAAGCAACTGTATGCTGTAAAGTAGCTTTCCAACTGACCGCGCAACCTCCACTAGTAAAGAAGTACCCAGTCAAAGACCTCTTCTTATCAAGGTCACCAGCATAATCAAAATCAACATATCCTATAAGAGTGTCACCGATTTTGCCAAACTCTAAACCAAAATTAGAAATACTCTTCAAATATCTCAAAATCCACTTCACAGCTTGCTAATGAGCTTTTCCTAGGCATGATAAATATCTACTTACCATGCTAACAACATGTGAAATATCAAGTCGAGTACAAACCATGGCATACATAAAGCTGCCAACTGGGTAAGTTGGTTACAAGTTGGGTAAGTTTTTATGTGTAGTTAAAAGTAAATTTGAAATGTTTTTTTTGCAAATGGGTGAATTTGTTGCTGAGGAAATGAATAAGGAAAAGATTGGGCCCTCGACCTAAACATACAAAATTTGTGAAATTTCACTTTCACCACCCTCCCAAGAAACAATGGAAATTGAAAACAAAAAAAATTGGATGATGGTACTAGAAGTATATGTATCTCTCTCTCAATCAATCAATCATTTCAACTTTTGTTTGATTAGATGACTCTTTTGAAACCGATGAATTAAACTATGTACATTTCTTCACCGGATCTATAAGTTAGTCGTGACAATTTTCTAACATTTTTATGTCCAGTTAATGATCCACACGAAATTTAGGGATGGGAAATGGAGCTGGTAGGACAGGATACCCAATCCATCCAAACCCTAATTGGACGTAGACGTGCTTTGAATTTCGTGTAGCGAGATGGGTTTGGGATCAATTGTCAAAACCCTTGTGAGGTTTGAGATGGATTTGGGATTTATAGATAGGTCCGATATCCCAAACCCGATATGTTCTTATTACTTTATTTCCTTACCGTCTTTAGGTTTTTTTTTTTGGGTCAAAAATCGTCTTTAGGTTGGCTATGTAGCAAATAAACATAAGTATTCCAACTCTACCAAAGTTTGGAACGTTTTTTAGACTTACATGACAGATAAACTAAAAACCTAAGCTCTTTAAATCATTGACCAAGCTACTCTTACTCCATTAATATAGTTAGGCTTCATTTGTTTCGTGAAAATTTTTTCTCATTGTCCGGCATTTGGATCGCTTAGGAAAATGAGTTAGCAAAAACTTATGTTTAAATTAAAGAAAATGATTTCCTCTTTAAAAAATCGAAAATCACTTTTCAAAATATGACTAGATATTGGCGTTTGAATAAATTTTTTTGCAATTGGGCATGGAAATTATAACACTCGTTCCTGAGTCTCCAGCGCTTGAGCCTAGGTCCACCAAGGCTGGGCGAGCGACCCTAGTGTATTTGCTCGAGTCCCCGACGCCCACACCCAGATCCATCAAGACTAGGCCCAGGAAGACCCTAGTGCCAATGCTCGAACCCAGGTCCATCGACACTAGGCCTGAGGCCCGATGTCAAGGCCCAGGTCCACAAAGGCCAAACATGGGACCCCAGTACCCTAGTATCTGGGGCGCCAACACTTGGGCTCGAGTCCTTGGCACCCGAGCCTAAGTCCACAAACGTCGTGCCTAGGTCCCCGGCACTTGGGCTTGGGTCTTCAATGCCTATGCTTGGATCCCCCGCGCTTGAGCCTAGGACTTTAGTGTCCGTGCTCGGGTCCGGGCTAAAGCCCATATCCATTGATGCCAGGCTCGGGTCCCGATGACCAAGCCCAATTGTCGTGGTCCCATAATCAACCTCGTTGGACCTAGGCATAGGCGACGGGAACCGAAGGCCAAACTGCTGGCTTTTCACAGCCGTGAGTTCTCCCTATCCTATCATGAAAATATATGTTATGTTTTTTTCTCAGTCCTTTTCTTCACAAGCAATTTCATAGAAGGGTTCTTCAAAAGTAGCACTCTTCTCCCTCTATCTCGGTCTCAGTCTCTCGTGATCTCACCCTCTCCCTCTCGTGGTCTCACCCTCTCTCTCTCTCTCTCTCTCTCTCTCTCTCTCTCACCCGACGGTGAGTTTTGTCGCTCTTTTGCTGTAAAAGTTCATTATTTATTTGAAATTATCACCGTAAAAAATGTGACATCCTCAAATTTGACCATATTCTGGATATAATGAATGGTTAATTCATCAATGTGCAATTATTAGAATTAGACTCTTAATCGATTCAAGAATTATTCAAGAGTATTCCAAGCTACGGGAAAGGCAATTTAGGACTTCGATGCGCATGACCAAAGAACTCAATCATGTATTGACAATTTGATCATAAGGATCGATGAGGGATCCTCATAAGCCATTTCAAGTCGATCCAGGAATGGTTAGAGCTCGATTCGGCAATAGTATATAATCGGATTACAGGTGTTTCCACACGATTACTATATTGATTCCGAACGACACTAGACCAATCTCTAATGATCGTATACTTCAAAATGGGCAATTGACCCCTATCGATTACATGACAACCGAGGGTCATCCATGAATTGAAAAGGCTTAAACGTAGATTGAATTGGAATCAACAACGGGTTAAACGTACGAAATCCCTAAGAGCCGCCCATAGTTCTAATTATGCGAATGATGCATTTGAGTGATTTTAACCACGAATTCTAATCTAGTTGAGGGTATTGGACTCTAGAGGATTAAGAGACAATTATTGGATAAATTCTGGGAATCGCCTATTTATCGGTAAATCAAGAAACCTTGGAAAAGTGAAATTCGGGCTCTTTGGCCCAAAGGAGGAGAGCTGGCTCGCTTGTTCAACATTCCCGGTGAACAAGGAGTAAATTCTGCTCTAAGTATAGGTTAATGGAGTTCAGCACCAACCAAATACATCTGCGGTTCAACAATATGAGCGCAAAGCTGTTCAACGAATTTACAGCACAGTCAAGATAATCATCCGAAAGAAGTGGAAATCGTGAAGTACTTGATGCTTCACTAATCATCAAGCCTTAAGCATTTTCCTGGACTAACAATCTTTTAACCAAATCGAAGCTAATGATACACTGAAAGACTAATCTGAAATACGACACTAAGTTTTACCGCCTTAGAAGAATTGAAAAGAAATATAGAAGCACAGCTTAAGAAAGATCGAATCTGATCAAGCACAAGAAGTGCGGTGACTTCACACTCGGCATTTTTCAGATTATAGATGTTAATGTCTAGATGTCCCAGTTTCGAGCGAGGAACACAAACATCCGGGGTGACACGCTAATCAAGAGAAGAAAGAAGTAGGCGCTTACTTGCAGCAAACTAGGAACTTGCTGGACGAGTCAAAGCCGTCCATTAGTAGCTGCCGATCCGATATAGCTGATTTGAACTTCTTGAGGGAGCAGACGATACTTACTATCAAGTTCTTCAAAGATTTTCTTGAGTTCCAACACAAGCTCGGATCTGCGGCTGTTCTTATCACCGTAGTTTTGGAAATTGATCGTGTGAGTAACGTAGAGGCCCAACTTCAACTTGTTAACATCCTCGATCTCCTTAACCACAACATTATGACCCGGACGCCAGTGTTTAGGCTTGCTTTCCAAGTACCTGACATTTATACCCAATGAATGCCATTCAATCGAATGAAAGCACAAATATTCGTATAGAAGAGCATATTCAACAGTTCTAATGTCCATCTATCTTCTCTATAAACAGAAATAGGGACGCGACTATTTTTTGTGAACTTTGATAAGCTACATCTTGAAGACTCAAAAGCATAAACTTTATCACAAAAAAGATGCAAAAGCATTACTAAAATTGCAAGCTTATTTGATGTCTCGTGCATATTAGAAAATATCTTGATATGAAACAACTTATATCGATGACTTCGCCTTTTCTATTGTGTAGCTGTGCCTTTCTTCATATTAAAAAGGGGCTGCTCTATTTCCATATAGGTTTCACAAAAGCCCAATGCTTACACCGAATTCTAAACAAGGACACCATCCAGACTGATAATGAATGAATATCCGCAATTCATAATAGGTTTTATGCCACATCTCATCATACTCGACACAATTAATCATGCATGCAAAATATACAGCCTAAATTTGAGATGCAGAGACTGCAGAAGACATATGTTTTAATTCTAGATTTTAGATCTCCAATCTTTTCGACTGAAGCAGAGAAGTCAACAGTGAACTCCACCACGTCGCTCATTTCTGGGCTCCTATAGAAATTGCTGATAGGTTTAGTTGCCAAAACTGAATTTGGGTAGAATATCTTTTCACCGTCATATCTCAAGAAGATTGTAGTCAATATATTCATCTCTTCAACCACCATCTGCAAAAGAATCAAAACGTCAGCCAAAATGTTGCCCGACACAATATTGTCTCTTAGAGTTGTAGGATTACTAAGTCACCTGCACTCCATCAATTACACAACGGTCACCCACATCAAACGGATGCATTATAAATACGAATATGATGGCCTCGAAAACGGTTTTGGCTGTGTTACCGAACATAAACACCACAAGCAAAAGCTGAGATGATATGAAGACGAGTACTTTTGTCGTCATAAATCCCATCAAAAGTAACCAGATAATGATGATCACAATAAGCAAAACCGCTGAAGCAAGGTTATTCAGCTCGTCTATGGCTGTTTTCGTGTCGTTTAAGGAGAGTGCAAGAGATTTACGTTCAAGGTACACATTTACCGGCAATGGAAAATTACATTGTCAGCTCCACAAGTTAAATAATCATCTCAATGGCCTGTGTCAAAAATCTTAAATTGTCTGTTTTGATGTCCGAGAACCTTCCCAAGGATGAAGCACTCAATGGCTCATTCCTCTTTGGTAAACTCGTGGACCTAGGGAAGTACGTACCCTTCATCCAAGTCTGAATGAATACTTTTGGTTAGAGTATAGTTTCATGTGCATCCTAGTACAAAAATCAAGCTCTGGGCCTCAGATGCATGGTCTGAGTACGCTCTTAGGATCTCACCAACTCAAATAGGTAAAAAATCTTGCAAATTTTTTAACTCCAAAAGACCCAAATCTTTTGTTACGAACTTCATAACAGAAATGGTCAGAGATTCCAATTGAGAAGCATGAAATAATGGGAAATCATTCAGTGAATCACACCGGGTAACTAATTGCACAATACTCATTCATGAGTTTCCTAATGAAGTAGCATATGACAAAAATTGCTCCAAGCGAAGTGAAAGCCATTAATAAACCACTGGACTCAGAGGAGAATATGGGGATGGTCATGATAGTAAAACGGAGATTTTCAGAAATGGGAAAACATTCTAGAGGGCTACGAGCTAGAATTGAAATGCAACCTTAAATCCTTAGCATGTTCTTACCAGCCAATTCTTCAAAGATGATCTCCTGATCTTCCTATTTTCCACTGCTTCTGGAAACAGCGGGATTACGTTGTCAACATCTTCCTTCTTCATGAAGCGCAAAAGATCCTCCTCTTCAATGAACCTAGTAAAAGCATAATACAGGAATCAGAAACAGATTCGAACAAAAGTTCGTCTATAACACAAGAAATAGTCAGACATTAGGTCTTCTCACTTGCTCCCGGGCTTCGCTACATTCCTGAATATCTGATAAGCAGCAGCCCTGGCCTCCCATTCGTTAGTGATCTCCCTATCTTGTTGCTTTGCCTCCTCGTCATCACTTTGTTCAAGGCTCTCAGCAAGAGTTGACAGCCCCGACACGCTAATGACATTAATCAACCCTTTCATAGTCCAAGCAGAAACTTTATCTTGCTTTATCTTATGTAACTTCTCAACATCAATCACCTCCTTTTGCTTCTTAGCTCCCTCTTTATTGTATTTCATAAAACTGAGTTGGCCACTACTTCTCGATCTACCAACCATTTCGGCCATCTCCATCAGTGGCGGGCCTGAAAGGGTCCTGACAATGTACTGGTGAAAAAGCGACTCTTGGATGCGATCGAAGAACCTCGTGCATTGGAATGAAGAAGATAGTAACTTTATCAACAGGGTCTTGATCAACCATATGGCAGCTCCAATAAGACAAGAAGCAAGAGCCCTTGTAACGTAATTCAGAATCTTTTTCGTGGGCCTTGATCGCTTGACTCCATGATTTAGTAATAAGGCCCAAGCTAAAAGAACCAAACCTAACCAGATAAATGCCTGCACACCCTTTTTCAATCCATACACAAAGTACAGAACCTTCTTTTTGAGCAAAAATTCCCTTTCAATCAAGCAGACCACTATATTGATCAACCACTCAGTCACTAGCCTACCACAAAAAATCACCAACACCAGCAGACACCATCTCCACAATCTCAATCCCCAAATACAAGTATCTCGCAGCTTGTGAACAGTTAAACTTGTGATCAGAAGTCCCATGATGCACACAAATGCAACCCACTCAACCAAAATTACCTTAGGAAACTTCTTACCAGACATTTGTTGGATCTTCAAGTTTGCAGTCTTGTACACCTCCTCATCATCTTCCTCCTCTGGAACGGGGGACGCGATCAATGGCATCCGAGGCGTGATCGGCACAGACTTCACATTGTCTTTATTGGCACCAGAACTTGCAGCATTATAAGGTGAACCCACTCTAGGTGAATTCCTGTAGGGAGACTGAGAACTCTTCACTTGGGTTTTCCCTTCAACTAAATCAGTATCACCAGGATATGATGGTTCTGCTAATCTTGATTTCGGCTTCGAATAGGAAGACCTCAAAAGGGACTTCCTGGTGGGGATTCTTGGAGGCTTAGTAGGAGATGGGCTAGATTGGGTGAGTCCCTGAGCGGAAGGGCTTGTCAAGTTGGAATCTTGCACCCTAGACTGAAGGTTATCAAGCTCTGTGAGCTCAATATTGGGTCTTGGAGATGAGCCTCTGCTTAGATACTCGCTGCTCGAGATCATCACAATCACTTCGTCCGTCTCATTCTTCCCCAACACGCCTTTACTTGTCTCCATGAGAGCTTTAGCTCTCTAACAAATGCGGAAGCCCTTTATCCCAAATCAAGAAAGTGCCGTAAGAGCAAGCTCAGCTCAGATGTCCTTTAAAAATGGAAACTTTCCTTAAAGGGGCCTGCTTTAGCTAAGATTAAAGAATACTTGGGCACAATTCGAGAAGTGGGACAGATCAAGCAACACAACAAACAAATAATTAATGCAGTCTCGGGCACTTTGGGAGTGCCCAGTTCATTCACTTGTGCCCAAGTAAACAGACGAAGTAGCAATGAAAAAACAAGCGAGACCAGTCTCAACTTCTACAAAGAAGCAAGCAAGAAGAAAGAGACTGACGGGACGAGGAGGGCAGGGCGAAAATGGCGATGAAAGCGAGATTATTTAACAGGGTTTTCAAGGAGAGCTTGAGCGTCGGGATTGGTTTCCCGGAGGTGGGTAGGGAAAGTGCCCCTCGTTCCAGCGGCTGCTAACGACCACTCGTCGACTTTGACAGAGAACGGAAGTGGAAGAACCGGACATTCCGCCCGAGGAAGTACCGTCAAACGAGACATCGTGTTCGACATTCTTATCATCAACCACATTGTTATCGGTTTATCTTTATGGCAACCTGTTATGCACTTGTCCGCAGGCCTTTTTGTCTGATTGACTTTTTTTTTTCTTTTTTTGGTTCACATTGATTGCTGTAATATTAGCGCTTCACAGGTCCTGAAACCTTGCGGCCTGTGTCTTTAGTGTTGGATCACTACAGATCTGAGCAAGAGAATCACATTTGTAATACAAGAAAAATCTTCTATGGAAAGATTCTAAATAGGATGTTATCGACTTTCGACATGTGCGTCGCGTAAATATCTTGTCTGTAACAGCCTGAATTTCGATGTAATTCCGGGATCAATAAATTGACCATATTTCGCATTTCATTTTAGTAAGTCTCGCCCAGAGCTGATCACTCTCGGGATACTAACCAATGGGGAATGGCTAACTAGGAAAATGGTACGTGGACTAGGGACCCGATCGTGAATTGGGCACCGATCTCGAGAAATGACGAGAGAATATTATGAACCAGTATGGACCGATCTTAGGAAAGGTAACGGATCTGGTTTGGTCAAGGCCAACGATGTACCATCGGATCGCAGGTGATTCTGCAAGACCGAAAGTACACGTGGCCAACCAGTCTTGAACTTGAACCGAGCGATCGTGACCTCTGGAACTAATGATAATTTCTCATTCTCTCAATGATCGAGACCATTACGATATGGATAGCCCTAGGTCGATACGCGTAACTCCTAAACAAATTGCCCGTTAGTGAGAGACCCCGAAATTGAAAGTTTAGCGAGTTTTGTTCACGGAATTGAGCCCGGATTTCGAGGTCGATTTTCGAAGGCTTAAGAGACTATTTTTGGGAATCTGACGTCATATTAAGCTGGCCACACACGTTTGGGGTTAGTACGAGTGAAAATTGGAATTTCTGTCCGGGGGTGAGAAATTACGGTTTTGCCCTTGTGGGCACCGAGGCCGGATTCGGAGACCGTTTGAGGTTATTTTTCGCGGCCAATGTCATTTTGGGGTGGCCACGCACATTTAGAGTGGTTTTGGCCAAAAAGTGGAATATCGACAAAAATTGGAAAAATAATATTATTTTATTCCCGAAACCTTGCAGTCAGTTTTCGAGGACTTAAAAAGTGAATTTCGCGATTCCGACGCCATATTATGTTGTCCACGCACATATGGAACGCGTGTGTGCGAAAATTGGAATTTTGACCCGGGACCGAAAAATTACCAAAATGCCCTTGGACCCATTTTTGGTAATTCCGAATTTTGGATTTAATTAGGGGACTAACCAAGGTGAGTTAGGGCTAAACCAGGTCTGGTCAGCTTGGGTTAAGGATCAATGACCATTTTACCCCTAAATTATTGGATGAGAAGGAAGGATAGCCCTTGGATCAAGGGCAAAATTGTCCAATTGGCCTAGATCTTGACACTTGGACTCCACTAAGACCAAATTTGACTCATATTTGACCAGAGATCTCTCTCTCTCTCTCTTCCATTCTGCTGATCTGCCGAGAGCTCCCTCCCATTTCCTCTCTTCATCGCCATTTACGTTCGCCGTGCACACTTACGACGTCCCGGCATCGTTCACGCCGAATGCACCAGCCGAGCTTCCGGTCGCCACCAGCCACCATCCCGCACCACCAGCAACCATTTTCGCCTTAAACAGCCACCACGGTCCCCATTTCCAGCTCAAACGTAAGAAAACAGCGCAAATCGTCGTTCCCGTCGTCGCCGTGACCGCTGGCTTGCACCCGGAACGCCGCCGTCGATCCTTACCGCGCGTCGGTGATCGACCGCCCGTTCCCGTCGTCCCGAGTCGCTAATAGGCGAGTATAAACCCCTAAACCCTTAATTAGTCTAATTGTGTCCTTAGGGGGTAATTAGGGGTTAATTAAGCTCATTTAGGACCTAATGATGTTTATTTGGGTGTAGGATGATTATGATAGGTCATTAGGGCTTAATGAGGTTATTTAAGTGTGGATTAGTGTTCAAAACAGCCCTTGTTCTGGTACTGTTCACAAAGTACCGAAAATGTGCATATTTGTCTAAGTTTTGCACTAATTGAATTCAATGATTCAAGGCTTGAAATTAAACAATTCAAGTGTTAATTAAGCTCATTTGAGGCTTAATTATATGTATTTGGTGGTTGGATGTTTGGGGTAGGTGATTAGGCCTTAATGAGATGGTTTAAAGGTGGTTTAGTACCTAAATGTTAATTTTTCCTGGCACTGTTCATTCAGTACCGAAAATGCCTAATTTGTGCCCAAGTTGAATATTCTAAGAATAATGGACTAATGACAAGAATTTAGGCATTTTTAGGGGATGATTAGGATGTGTATAAATCATATTGAATGACCCCGAAGTGGTGAGAACAACTATTGAGATGGATTTGCCCAGGGCGGGCCTTTAACGCATTGAACTACCTTGGAATGAACGTGCGAATGAATGTGGGATTCGTTGAACCAAAGTGGAAATATATTGAATGTGCCAAGGATGCGTTGAATTCGTTGATTTGGTGAATGATTGTGTTCGGCATGTTGGCTTAGGTATTATCGGTGTAGTCTGGATTGGATTAGGTAGTACCAAAGGTGTAATTCGGATCGGATTGAGGATCGATCGTTGGAAATTAAGTCTAAGGAATTTAGTGGGATTATTAGAAATAATTATTGGTCTAGCACAGATTAATCGGGGATTATGTGATTGGACTCATGGGTATGTCCGGGTTGATTGATCTGTTGATTTACGTACCCAATTGCTGGGAAATTGAGTAATGCCATGTCCCGTGACTGCGTGGCCGACTTGTGCGGAGTGTGATTGGCCATATGATGGCTTGATTGGATTATTGAATTGCACATTGTGGAATTGAGCCGCATGGTATTAATTGGCCAGTGAACGATTGTTGCGGCATGAAATTAACTGAATGCTTGAATTGTACTGATGCTCATGTTGCATTGTTTTGCATTTCATGGCACGCATAGTGAATGCCGGGAACGAGGCGTGTGATGAATTGTGCGAGAATGCGTGCCTGCCATGAGCATGTGATCACCTAAACGCCCTGATGCGTGATACGCGGGGTGCAGATAATAATTGATTGTGTGTATGTGTGATCACAATTTCGCCCTAATGCGTGTTACGCGGGGTGTGCCGTCCTGATGCGTTTTACGCGGGACGATGCCCGGTACGTCCGGAAGACGACCAACCTGATGCGTTTTACGCGGGCTCTGGTTCGTGAGGAGATCGGTGTTGCGCCTGATGCGTTTTGACGCGGGCTAAAGACACTGGGCCAGTTGATGCGTTTTAACGCGGGCCACGAAGTGTTGTGATTAAATGAAGAGACCTGATGCGTTTTACGCGGGTCGTAATAAATGATAAATTGAGCAAGTGCCAAGGTGCCAGTGTGGGCTAGTGAGCCGAGGCATAAGTATGGTGTGACGATAGCATTGCATACATAAGAATGCATGGACTGGTTTGCGGGTGTGCGGGACTCGGTGATTGACACGCGTTATTACCATTATTAAGTATGAGCATACGTTTGATGTACGCGTGAACCGAGTGCTCGCGTATGTGACTTGATTTAAATCATGATTGTCAATAACCTGCAGGGTCAGCCAGGTAAGAGATCTGGGTCAGAGGGCCTAGGTCGGAGTTTATTTATAAATTGGTTGGTTATGTTGTTTTGTGCTTTCGGGTCAGGAGATTGCATGTTAGCCTAGCCTAGGTTTAGGGGTCATACTGCGAGATTCGTCTCACGGTTGTGTAAACCCGAAACATTTTCAGACCCCCAGCCGTAGAATGCCGAGGACACCACCACTTTTTGGGATGCTGCATTTCATCCAACGGTCGTTGAGCGTGCACCCCTGTGGAGACGGAGCGGATCGGAGAAGTGGCTGTTTGGTTATTCCTAGGAGTTGGTGTTTTATTTGAGTTGTTGGGAGCACTGTAAAAAGAGTTTTAAAATAGTGATATAAGTATGTACATATTTTCTGCGTTGATCGTTGTTTATTGCTTGGCTATCCTTAGTCTCATGCGATTTATTGTATGGGTGTATATATTTATTTATATACGTTGCTTCCGTATGTGTTTGATCTCTGATTGGGCGTTGGGTCGGCAATGCTTCCTGGGAGCGTTGCACCATAATCGACCGTCGACGGGATGTTGCGTTCCGGTAGAGTACGGGGCGTGACATTGTCACTCGGAAAGCTTGTTGCACGGAATAAGCAGGACTACTCAAGTGCTGCTCCGGCCTTATATAAAAAGCTCTAAACTGTGTATATGAATTTATCATCAAATGAAAGTTAGTTCTTTATGGAAGGTAATTAGGGTAAAGGCTCAAAAAGAATGAACTCTGTCTAGCCATATTTGAATGATATGATTGTCAACTGTCAAGGGAAGACCTAAGATAGTTCAACTTGGAGGATGACTGATGAACAGCAGCCAGAGTGGAAAAACGTTGAAGAACTGGTGCATTGCACTTGCACATGCGCATGCAAATCGTGTTTTTATATCTTGTTGTGATGATGACAGGAATCGACAATCATTAGAACCTTTTGGAAAAAGAATATGTAGGGCCAGCTTCAGTTGTTTGGAATTTTTGTTGTAATTCCAGGTCAATACTCCTTTTCAACTTTGGTAATTGTAAGTTTAACTTGTTCTCATTTCAAACTTGTCACTTGGATTTTCGCAGAATTTACTGGTAACAGTTTACGATTCACCATGGTGTATCGACTCAATCTATGTATCAATTCAATCTATTTGTTTATGCACGTTGCAACACATCTAATATCAAATGTTGAGTAGAAAGCGAGATGTGTTAAGCGTAGAACGGTAACAAGGAATTGGAAGAGTTAAAAAGGAACAACATTTCATTGATGTACAACGATAGAACATTAGGAATCGGATAATTTTAAGGGATGATACATTGAGAATCTGGGCTTTTGAGGTAACGGAATGAAGTTTGAATCCGTTCGCCAAGCAATTGTATTTGCACTTCGTAGAGAA